AAAGATTTGCTAAAATATCTGAGGTTGCTTGCTAAAATTCAAATTAACCTATGAAAATCTTGTGCTAGGCCGGGCGCGGTGGCTCAAGCCTGTAATCCCAGCACTTTGGGAGGCCGAGGTGGGTGGATCACGAGGTCAAGAGATCGAGACCATCCTGGTCAACATGGTGAAACCCCGTCTCTACTAAAAATACTAAAAATTAGCTGGGCATGGTGGTGTGTGCCTGTAATCCCAGCTACTCAGGAGGCTGAGGCAGGAGAATTGCCTGAACCCAGGAGGCGGAGGTTGCGGTGAGCCGAGATCGCGCCATTGCACTCCAGCCTGGGCAACAAGAGCGAAACTCCGTCTCAAAAAAAAAAAAAAAAAAGAAAAGAAAAGAAAAGAAAATCTTGTGCTAGAATATGCATGGTATAAGGCTTATTTCATGTTTATTGTATACGAAGAAACTGGAAAAGCATCTTCAAAGAATAAATCTCTGACTCTGCTATCTTTTGCCTATATGTATTGAAGTGAAAGGTTAGTAGAAGAAAACATAAGAGAGAATCTTTGAGAACGTGATTGGTAGGCCAGTATTTATTAGGTAAAACACCAAAGGCATATACCATAAAAAGCAAGCTAAAAACGTAGTTCAGAAAACTTTGGCTCTTTTGAATATATAGTTAAAAAAATAAAAAGATAAGCCCCAAACTGGGTAATAGATTTATAATAAACATATATGACAAAGGATTTGTATCCAATAATCTAATGATAAATATTGGGAAAATATTTGAATACTCTTTGCAAATGAGATATACTAATGGTTAATGAGCACATGAAATGATACTTAACATATTTAGTAACCCCTGGAAGAGAAAGTTAAAACCACAGTGAGGTACCACTGTATACCCACAAAGTGCCTAATTTTTTTAAAAAAAAGACTGGTAACACCATTGTTTACAGGATATCCTACAAGTGGAAGTGCAAAATATTACAATCCTTTTGGAAGACAGTTGTCAGTTTCTTATAAATTTTACATAATACAGGATATAAATTTGCCACAAGACCCAGAAATTTCATTGTTAAGTAATTACTAAATATAAAACACACATCCATTTAAGGATATATACATGGATGTTCAGAATGGTTTTTCATTAGAGCCCCAAACAGGAAGCAACTCCCATCAATAAGTGAGTGGATAAGCAAATTTCGGTCCACTGTGAAATACTACACAACATCTTGAAAGAACAGACTACTAAAATATGTACCAATATGACATAATGAATTTCAGAATTATTTTGCTGAGTGAAAGGAAGATGCAAAAGAGTTCATGCTGTATATTTCTATTTATATGAAATTCTAGAGCAGTCCAAAGCAAACTAGTAATAGAAATCATACCATTGTTTCCTGGCAACAGGGGTAGGGGATAGTTGAATACAGAGGCACATGAGGGAACATTCTGAGGTGATGAAAATGTTCTGTATCTTGATATTGGTGGTTGTTACGTATATGGAGACATTTGTCAAAACTCATCTAGTTTTACACCCCAAAACTGCATTATACTGTAGGTATGTTATATTTCAATGAAGTTGATTTAGAAAAGGATCAGCTGGAGATGAGAGATCAAAGCACTTGTTAAGGGAATTGTCTTCTAAAAACAGCAGCAACAAAGAAGTGAAAGGTTTTTTAAAAAATTAGACAAGTAGAATTCTAGAGAACAATATTCAGAAAAAGGAGGGACATTAATCAGAACATCTCTGATATGCTCAGTAAATACTTGTCTAAGGGATCACTGAACCTCAAGATCACACTTAATTTTAAGCCCAATTTGGAGAAAAATGAAAGAGAACAGAGAGGTGGCCAATTTGGGCAAAATAACATTTTAATGGTAGGTAAAATGTTAGGTTCATATTATTTGTCTATTCTAGTGTTTGAAAAAAAACAGTTTATCTATTGGACTTAAAACCCGAAAACCAGGTTAAGAACACTTGTTAAAATTGGCTTTCATGACAAGGATGTCTAGTGTGTCTCCAGTGGATATAAAAACAAAACAAAACAAAAGATATGTTTCATGAGAATTAAGAAGATAGGAGATTTGTTCTGTTGAGAGATTTGCTTCATTTTTTAAAAAAAATAGTTCTTCTATTTTCCCATAGGATTCACTTTCACATTATTGTGAACCTATCACTTGTAAAATCTCTGCAATATATCAAAAGTGGATGAAACCATAAATCTAACAGAACATTTTATGAAGAAAGCTATTGATTAACAAAAACTGTTAGCTTTAAAAAACATCAAATATAACTTATTATTTCATTGAGATATTAAATTATATCAGTATTGCTATCAATGAATGAGAGAGGAAATGGATTAAAATATGAAATATGGATAAGACTTACCTCTAAAAGGTTTACAGTAGTATTTTATCTAAAAGAATAAGCAAATTGAATGATACCTAAATTACAGATTACTGAAAAACGAACAGGAAAACAATAGGATAAACATGAAAATACTCCATCTGTGTGTTTCCCAACTTGATAACTAAGTGCAGTTTATCAGATGTTGCCATATGAGATTGATTTGCTTTTTTTAAATGTTTATCTCAAGATTTCCTAAGAACAGTAAAATTAAAGTGTCACACTATAAGATGGATTTGAAAATTACAGCTAGAACACAGTTTTCTCTTAGAATGTTGTTTAAAGAATCCGTGTTACATGATGTAAAATTTGGAGTCTGTTTTTTACTCTCCTTTGAATTATACATTTATTTCTGGAAAGTTGTGGGTGACCTCAATATTTAAAGAAGTTTACCATGAACCTTGACTTTGCATTTATGTTATGAAAATTAAAACCTTCTATGGCCAGACTGATACAGGATTTTCAACTTTTACAAACAAATGTTATCTATGTCTTCTAAATATATTATTTATTTATTTATTTATTACAAGAACCAACAGAGTAAGAATCTATTCATGTCCCCCACTGTGGGAGGGTATTAATCTATTGATACATCCACCCCATGACAAAAACACCTGCCATTAGGTCTCACTTCTAACACTGGTATCAAATTTCAGCATGTGATTTGGAGAGACGAACATCCAAACTATAGCATTCCTCCTCTGGCCCCCCAAAACTCATGTCTTCCTCATGTTGCAAAATAAAATCATCCCTTCTCAATAGTTCCATATATATATATATATATATATATATATATATATATATATATACATATATATGTATATATATGTATATATATATATATATATATATGTGTATAATTGCATTTTAGATTCTGGGGTACATGTAAAGAATGTGCAGGATTGTTGCATAGATACATACATGGCAATTTTAATACGCTATGCAGGCTGTTTATACTACAGGTAAATATCAGATAATTCAACTATGTACAAACTTTGTTCTATCACTTGCTTAAATTCTTGTGAGAAATTAAAAACATTAAGAGAAGTACCTCAAGAGTCTTTTTTTCCTCTGTGTTTCAGCACAAAAATTCATTCATTTCGTATGTTAACATCCTGTGGTAAATTAGTTAGCAAGACTAGCCTTGTTTCTCTATTATGTCATAAAATCAGAGAGTAAGAGTCAGCCATTCATCATATTTCCTGGTTTTGATCAAATAAATTACGTATAACTCCGGATAAATTTTGAAATTAAAGTCAGAGACTAACTCGCCTCAATTATCTGGTGCAGGTATTTTCCTACTTCCTTTAGTAGATTATTGTTCAATTTTTACATAATTTCCTTCTTTAGACATTTTTACTCAATGCACTGCCTTATATCAATTTCCAAAACAGGTGTGGTATGTGTTAAATTAACATTATACTGAATATCTTGTTTCCTGTGTCAATAGTTCTTATCCTTGGTTTCTGGACTAGGGAGTCAGAAGTATTCCCAACTTAATGGATATTTAAAATGTGTCCAGTTTATTTCACATTTGAATACATGAATTGAAAATAATCTTTGAATAGAAAGTCTCTAAGAATATGTAGCGGTTGCAGCATCTATTCTTTGAACACGTTCTTTTGTTGAAACTTAAGTCACTCAAACTTGTCTACTTATAGCCTTATCTCACTTGAGGTGTATTCATTCTTTGGCTTTAATCTGCATTGCAAAATTTCTGTGTGTTTGCATGTATCTTTAGAGATGAAACTGAAAAATGTAGGTGTATATTATTTTTAATGTTTTATTTTCTTTTGTTTTATTTGCATATGGGAGAATTCCTCTGAGAGACTGCATTAAGAATATAATAAAATAACTTCTGTTGCTACCTATTGTTAGTATCTTTTCCTTGCTTTTAGAAAAGTAAATTAATGATGAACTTCTAATGGATATCCCTTTTTTAGGCTAATTTCTCATTAAATAAGTTTTAATTGGTTATATTCCTAAAAGACCAGAAAAACAGCCATTAGCAACATTACAAGCATTCTCTTACTTTTTAAAAATATTTTATCATTATATTTTTGTTTAGCAGAACAAAAAAAAAGGTAAAATGTCAGGGGCCATGAATTTAGGAATTTAAATTTTTAAATATTTTTTTCAGTTTGTAATTGTGTATTATAGCAGATTGGTTTACATAATGAAAAATGTTGGTTGCAATGAATTAAATCTTTATAGAAGAAAAACTGTAATGCATGTTTGAAAATCAATCTAACTATATTGAAATAGCAACATAAATGAATTATTACAGACATAGTTTAATTTTTTTAATTGTAAAAATATAAATTAAGCAATGAAAATAATACCACCCTAGCACAGAAAAAATGGCCATTATATTTGATAAAATGCACTTTAAAAGGTACCTTGGGAGAGAGAATTTGACTAATTTCCCAGAAAATCATTTCTATATAAGGAATGATTTATTATATAATTATGATTAAATCTACATTAATATGATTTTTTCTACGTTCATATTTTACTTATTTACTTAATTATTCTTTTTTCTGAATTATGAGTTGTCAAAGTGACTACAAAACAATATTTATTTATTCAATTTCACTGTCCTTGCAGAGTGCAGACATGAGTCCAGCAAGCAGTACCACGTCACTTCCTGTTAGTCCTCTTACTGAAGAGCCAGTGCCTTTCAAGGTAAAAAACAAACAAGAAAGCATTATTTATCAACATTTTAGGATAGTTAATAAATAATTTATGTGTAGATGGTGAACTACTTTAATCTTCAAGGGTCTGATTTCAAATCTTAAAATCATTTTCTTTGTGTTCTATTGTCATTCTATTGCTAACTGAATGTAAAGGTTTGAAGTGAAAATTACTGCTTTATGGGACAATTGTTTGTCTTACATGTAAATGGTGGTGTTTTATTGTAATCAGTTGATTCTCGTGAATTGGAGGTTTTAAATCTTTTGTTTATATTATGTTAATATAAATCATAGGGGTAGAAGGAAACATTTAGCCCTCATCTAGTGGTTAAATTTTCATTAGCAATTTTAGGTTACTAATAATTAATGATGTAATCCTTGTGAGATAAGAGTCAAACTCAGGAGTTGAAATATGGAATCATTCCACCAAACATACTGTATTTGATAAATATTCAAGTAAATATGTAAATAAGTATGTGATATGACTGATAGCATTTTTTTCAGTTTGGTATGCTATATATATGACAAATATGAAGTCTTGTTTTGCCTCTTAAAATTAGATGTTTCTATTTAAGCCAAATCCTGTAGATCAAATATTTTATGTTTGTTCCAGGGATGTTTAGATATTATTAGGCTTATTATAAATAAAAACAATTCTTAAGAGCATGAGAAAAAAATGCTCTTTTTTATAAAATGTTGGGATAATGTACTTAAGTGCACTGATTTCAGTATAGTTTTGTTTAAAGACAGGTGCACATTTTGATATCACTTTTATGATTGTAGTATTTTAACATACAATTATTATCATGAAGCTTTTTAATTTTTCATTTAAGGATTGTATCTTATTCAATTTTATATTGCTTGTACCTAGTACAGTGGTTGATATGGATTTCCATATACTCAATATTGCTGTCATGTTGAAATAATAATTATAGAAGGCTATGAATTCCAGTGAGAGTATTTAATTTTCTAATTATGGATACTTTTTTGCTTAATAAGAGTCAAATATTTGTTAGAAGGCCCTTTCTATAACTGCTAATTGTTAAATACTGAATGATATTCTGATTACATTATTTATTGAGAAATATTTCCTTTATTATTATACAGATAAATAAGAAAATACTAATGCTTCAAAGTTTAATGTTACCATTTTATGATATATGGAACAGATTTACTGAAGAAGCATTCTTTTACAAGATTTTAATTGAATTCTCAAAACTTCACCAGAAACTGTTTTCTCTTTTTAATATATTGACAATGATTACAGTCTTTGAAAATTAATGTATTTTTTAACAGAGGTTAAAAAAATTTAGACATATTTTAGAATCTGCTGACATAAAGCTAATATAAATATAATTATTTTAATTAGTTTCTCTAACTGGTTCTAAGAGATCAATAGTTTGGGAGTGAATGTAAATGATTTTATAGGAAACTAAAACTTCCAAGTGCTTATAACATATAATATTGGCTTTCAATGGCCAACAAAGTTATAGTGACTTTCAATTTATTTCTTTTGTGAAAGGAATATTACCTATATATTTTCAAAAGATTTAATCACCTATAAAATTATCACACTAGAATTTACAAGTATCTAAATTTAAAATTCAAAATTATGAAAAAACTTTTTTATTTGCTTCTTTCATTTTTAGTTTATAAATTGTCACTGTAAATGAGTAATGAGTAACATAGTATTTATTTAATTTAAACACAAAATATATAGACCTATAATTTCAAGGATATGTTGAGAATTATATAACACATAGAAAACATTTAAGTTTTCTTGTAACTATATTCTGAAAAAGTCTGATATTATAATTCATATGTCTAAAACTTTGATTTAAATTATATTTGAATAGCTAGGTAACTGGAAAATAAAGGTTGTCTTCTTTGCCTATTCTCCATGAATGTGACATAATCTTTCATGTTAGTATAAGATTAATCCTGTTAACCTCTTAGCTTACTTTTTCGAGATGCAGTTATTTCACCACCCAACCCCACTGCAATCCACCCTAATATTAGAAGAGCAAAGCTTCTTCTAATATTGGTGGCTGGTTGAGGGACGTGATTTTACTTCTTCTTCTCAGAAATAATTAGATTACTAGAAGAAAGATATTTCCTCCACTTTCTTGGTCAGTTTTGGAAGCACTCAGATCAGCTGGAGGAAGATACCTTGTTCTGGCTGGTATGTTTGTCAAGGTACATGGTTTTCTTCAAGCATTACCTTTAGAATGACATTCAGATTAAGTTGATTTCAACCACATCATTTAAGATGAAGACAAATGGTAACATTTTAATTTAAAAAAATTAATACTTTCCCGCTAATATCCATGCCTTTGTTCTTGAATATTAGATGAGAAGTTGGCTATTGTTAAGAATAGATATAGCATAGTAAGATCTATTAAATTAAGTATAGAAGAAAACAAGATGGCATCCTAGGGACTATCCCAAGGTAGGTTAAACTTTAGAGATACATGAATTTAAAATGACAATTCAGTCTTGTTTGCAATCAAATGTTTATTTTTTTCTAATATGTCAGCATTTTTCAACTTTGTTAGTATTGGAGCCCATTCTTTCAATTAAATAAAAACAATCTGCCCTGAAAGACAGTCTAAGCCCACATACATACTCATTTCTCTATTTCCCCACACTATGATTCAGTTCATGCTAGACTCGTATCTACTGTTTAAAACCATTGCTGGCCAGGTTCAGTGGCTCATGCCTGTATCCCAGCACTTTGGGAGGCCAAGGCAGGCAGATCACGAGGTCAGGAGTTTGAGACCAGCCTAGCCCCAACATGGTGAAATGCCATCTCTACTAAAAATACAAAAATTATCAGGGCATGGTGTTGCACACCTATAATCTTAGCTACTGGGGAGACTGAGGTAGGAGAATGGCTTGAACCCAGTAGGCAGAGTTTGCAATGATCCCAGATCGCACCACTGCACTCCAGCCATGGTGTAGCTAGCCATTCGAAACTGAGGACATTTCACACAAAAATTCATCCAATTTTTCTTAAACAATTGAAAAATTCAGACACTTTTTGGATCTCATTGTAAATAAAACTATTTGACAAGAAATGAGAAGGCTTTCTCCATCTAGACAGGGCACATGTACTCCTGGTTACCACAATCATTACCATCCTTACTATATACAAGCCAAGCGATGAATGCATTTGATTATATTTCTTCATAGAAGACAGTGAATAATTCACAATCTTCCACATACACTACACATCATAAATTCCAGATTTCTTGGGCAGTCTCTTGGTACTGAGAAGTTTCTAGGATGCTTGATTCTAAAAAGTTTCGTTTTAAGAACTGCCAACTTATTTTACCTTTATAAACTATTTTTATGCATACATTTGGAAGCAAAAGGCAAATGTATAACCTCTAGTTTTTGTTGTTTTTTAATAGAATATTCAGCATTACATTAACTATACACACATACGGTCTGACTCATGCCACTATATCATTATATAAGAGCCAAAGGATAATCAGTTTTGCATAGGTAGGAACAATATGTTATCAAACATCCACAACAGAATCATAAAATTTCAAGTTCATTCAAGTGAGACATTACTCTGATGAAACACACACACACAAAAACTTAACCAAGTTTTTTATAGTTTTCTGAGGACTAAACCTGAACAAAATTGATGTTGTTAATTTTAATATGTTCATTCTATCTTTTTCTGTCTTTTCCCTCTGGCATTCTCCCTGATTTCTTGCAAACATTTAATCACTTCCCATCTCATCTGCCTTCCATCTCCCTCTGTTAGCCTTGATAAAATGTTCCACATCAAAGACACCTTCAAGCCACTACATTTTACTCTTCTTTAGTAGGATGACCCTTTAAATTTTTTGTATATATGCAATGATTAGCAGCCTCAATCCATTCCTGGAATTAACACTCTTGAAGCTAAAGCTGGCTCATTGTTCTTGACCTTCCCCCCGACCCCACCATAAAGTATATTCTATCACAAGCCATGTTCTTTTTGCTGATCATGTTAATCAGTTTTTAAATTTATTTATACTTCAATGAATCATGATGGCTACATTTTAGTCTCTTTTCATATTTAAGTAATATTTTTTGATTAGATATGTTAGGAAATCACCTTATCCTGCTGTACTGTACTACATTTGTCCTGTGATAAATTCCGCAGGAAAGGAAAAACATCCTATTCTATCGTTCTTTAGTTCAACTGCTGAAGACTTTTGTGCTTCAAAAGTGCACAAAGGCATTGAGGAATCCCTCCAGTCACCAGTCCTCTGTCAAAGTTTAAAAACAAATGTAATTCATTGCATTTCTTGGCCCACTGACTACTGCTTCCCTGGGATGTTTGCATTCCTGGAATACCTAGTGGGATTCAGTGTCAACAATGCCTAGAATGTACAATGGCACCACCCTCTCTGATGTAAGGCCATATTCCGGAGGAACTGACAGTGTGGCAGTTGGCTCTTTCCTGGATCTCTTTCTTCTTAGGAAATCCAAGGTTCTCTGAATCCTTTTCCTCATTTCTAGTTATTTCTCTTCAGTCTAAAGAAACTCTCCCCAAGTTTCTATCAGAGATGTTCCTTTTCACATTAAATTAGCCAGGACACTGAAAAAAAAAAAAAAAAAAAAAACAAAACAAAAAAAAAAAACAAGAAGAAAAGAACAAGAAAAAACTCTTTGATACACATTTTAGGAATAGAATTGCATCTGCAGATTATTCTGCCATGACATGAACCTAACGTTAGTATGCACAGAGCCACTTTACTTAAGCAGGGAATAGAAAAGAGGAAGAGAAATAGAGAAATAAATTGTCTTGAAATGTTTTTTTATATGCTGGGTGCAGTGGCTCACCCCTCTAATGACAGCAGTTAGGGAAGCCAACGCAGGAGATTTGCCTGAGCTTAGTAATTTGAGCCCAGCCTTAGCAACATGGGGAGATCACATCCCTATTATTATTATTTTTTAATGTATTCTACCATGGAATACTGGTATCTTAGC